GTCTGTGTATTTTAAAAACCACCATGGGGCTTGCTTGGCTGGGCTCTAACCATTAGGAGTGAAAGCATGATATATGAAGCAAGCTTAAGAGAGATACTTGTGTGCTTTGGCTGATCCCAAGACAATCCCAATTTAATTGTGCATTAAAGACCATGCACTGAGTCATTTATTACATTGTTTATTTAGCCAACCCCATCCCCCCCTTATTCCTATTTGAGCTCTAATTAATCCTGAACAGAAATCTCAACTTCATTAACTTGGGCAGCTTTAGGCCTCAACTGGGGTTAATTACTAAATAAAAATGGAAAGATTTTGTTCTGTGCAACCAAAAACTGGATGTGATAGTGTCACAGGGAATGTTCAGCACAAATATGAAAGGTCACATTTGACTTTTAGATATGGAAATAATATGCATGCTAAAATCAAGAAGTTACACAAATTAATTACTTCCCACTAAATTAAAGAAATTATAATTTCAAAGCCATGTAACAGTATCTGTCAACATTACCCTCATTGCAACGCAAAGATTAAATCCAGAGCCGGCTAAAAAGCTAAACCACTAATTCATAGATAAAGAATACAAAAGATTTTTAGCACAAGCAAAATGCATGCTACAGAGGTGTTTATCGTAACGTGTTAATAGTACTGAAGATTATTTGGAAGGGTCACAAGGTCACAAAGTGTTATATCCCTCTTTGGGCTAAGGGATTCATCAAATTGAGTGCAGCTCATGAATAATAACAACAAACTTTCTCACAAGTCAATAGGGCTCCTCATTGCTCTTTGTCAACAAGGTTGATATCCCAGCTGTAACATCTGGCTCACATACACAAGTGCTTCAGGGGGTGCTTAAACACATGCATGACAGTATGCACATATGTGTACACACACACACACACACACACACACACACACACACACACACACACACACACACACACACACACACACACACACACACACACACACACACACACAGGGGGTAGAGGGATCGAAAAAAACATTGAATTGGCTGAAAAGCTAACAGCTGTATAATATGTGCGATGGGTCTCGGTAGATGCTTCCCCGCAGTAAAGACTCAACAATTAATTATCGTGCCGCAGATTCCTGGCAGCCCCTCATTTTACTGACGAGTGCACTCCTGCTGCTTCTTCAAAGATTAACATTTAAAAATTCATCAGCTGGCTTTTCCAGGTTACTCAAAAGACCAGACCATTATTCCATTAGAGTATGTTTTATTATCTCTTTGTACTTATTATCACCACCATCAGAGCTATGAGGCCAAATTAGAAGCGAAATGCTTGACTGATTCAGCCAGTTCAGAAATAAAAGAGAGCATCGCCAACCATACAGTATCTCTTTGACATATAGCAGTCCACTACAATGTAAGAGTCGCATATGTCCTCATTTGTGCATGTGTTTCGATGATATGGTGGCACATCAGCCAAAACAATGGATGCTACTGTGTAATTCCAGAATGTCACTGTTCAGTTGTTGTAAGGGCAAAAACACACAATTCTTTAAAACAAGATTGCCAATCAAGGAGCAGAAGTCATAATGAAAATGCTCCGTAGTATTTTTCCAATCCTTCTATAGGACACGCTTGCAAGTAAAAACGATTTGGTGATAACGACAACTAAGAATACAATTGTTAAAATGTCCAAGTCTGTTTTTAAAGCAGGGATGAAATTCCTATTATTAATCTGTACTCTAAAAACAATATAACAGATTCACTGATTCATACATTATAGCAGCTTTGTTTTTCTTGAAGAAAAAATCGGCTGTGAAGGTTTTTTGCTGTTAATCCATTGATTTATGTTATTAGAATGTAACTTGCTGTTTTGTAATTTAAAAAAAACATTTCCTATATATATATATATCAAAATGACAGTAAAGTGAGAATACGGCCAAGTTGTTGTCACTTATTTGCCCCCCCTGCCTCAGAACTACAAATACCTTGCATTCCAGTAAACATGAGCTGAACCAGCAATATACATGGAAACAACCAAATCAGACACACTTTGAATGATTTTGTATTAAGAGTAACATGTTTGTTAAATAAGTAAAAAGCTTAATTAAGGATATTAAACTTCATCAGACTTTTCCTTTTTGTAACTAGTAATCCATCCACTGAGTTCTGGTACGGACTGTGGAAAAAAAGTGAGAAGACTGAAAATCCAGCTGTTGCTCAATCCCTGTGCTCCAGAGCCAAAGAAAACAACACATAGCATCTCCAATTCTGTGCACTGATGTGCCGACTCAGAGTTTAAGAAACTCTTCACAAGTAGTTCTCCTTCACATTGGGTCGGGAGCAACCAAGTCCAACGGCATCGCAGGGACAGAGAATTCGGCTCCGTCAAGCCGCGAGGTAGAAGTTTCGGTTCAAACTGAACAATATTGTGGGTTAAAACCGCTTTGTGCCAAAGCAAGACAGGCCAAACTGCACAGCTTCAAGACATTGATTTTCCATAATCTGGGTTTGATACTCTTCAATTTATTGATGTTAGGTTAGTTTTTACGGGTGGGTCCTCCAAAATATTTTTTTATACATAAATTATGATAGCCCAAGTAGAGTGCAGGCATTCTACCGAATGAATTACTAATAAATTATTCATTCTGCAACGAGCAACAAACGCTACAAGAGCAACATTTGTATGAGCTTGGTCAAAGATGCATTGCAGTGTTAGCACACTGTAGGGAGCAGGGGAGACATAGAGGGCATTTGTATTCTCTACAAAAGTGTGCTGTGCAAGATAATTAGTTCTCTTTGCTTGAATCAGTGCAGGGGTTGCTGAATGTGAATGAAACTTTTATAATCATGGAAGCTGTAGCTACGTGCTGCTGAAGTATGAGCCGTGCTTACTTTTGCTGACACCAGTCTATCATGTTAGTGTGGCAATGCCAAAGTAGCATTGATGAAGGATGTTGAGAAAATACTGAAAGTCCTCTTCTAATATCAGAGTAGCACATGATAACAAAGGCCCAACATAGCTGTGCACGTAACAGGAAGTATGTGTTATGTTATGCTTGGGGTTTTTGTTGTTGTGTTTTACTTGTTTGCTCCTTTTACCCCTCACTACTCTGTCTCTCCGTCTCTGCAGGGCTGTTGTGTGACAGGGGGGCGTGGCTGGTATACTCCTGGCTGCAGATGAGGCACACCTGTCCCCACTCACATGATCAACCTGCTCTTTAAAGAGCAACTTCCAGGTTAAAGAAACCTGTGAATAAATGTGTAGGAAAATGATGAATACACTAGATTTTCAAAAAAGATATACAGAAATATACACTACAGTGACATCTGGCATCGTTTTTGTAAGATATTTTCACTTCCGCATAAAAAAGCCTCGGCACGTGACCTCCCGCGTATGACGTAACATGGGGGAAACAAGGGGGAGAGCGGCCGGTGTAACGTATTAATAAACATGGATCCCAATTCTAGTTTCGACACAGAAGAAGTTGAACATGAATATTCGAATGCATATGACGGACCACAACCTTATAATTATGAGCCTGCTAGGCGTCCAAGAGACCAGGAGCAGCCAAGGATTAGAAGAAATAACGGCCATCGGAGAGAAATTGAGCTGTGGTGTGAGGAGAACCAGTGGAGAACTGGGCAGCTATCTTGGTGAGTGACCGGCGTTAGCTACAGAATGCTAATGTCACATCACAACATTGTGAAGTTAGCTATCATATTATATATCAGGCTATAACTAACGTAGCATTGATAATATAGTAACGTTACTGGCAGGACTGTTGATACTGATCCATAACAGAAACTAATGCGCAAGTATCAGCCGTATCTCGCGTTACCTAATGCAACTCCACAC